ACTTTCCCCCTCTCTTCTGGCGAGTGCACGTGTCTTATAGCAAAAACTAAAAGAAGAAAAAACTCCAATCGCAGTGCTGTATCTTTGTCACTCTCTCTCTCACTCATGAGATAAACTTTAAAAACAAAAATTCCAGTTGTTTTCCTCTGAAGTCCTAGTTTGTCCTTTTCCATTTGGTTTAGAAAAGCCAGAACCTACTGGTCAGCGTGATTCCTCATTTTGTCTCACCTTTTCCCTGTGCTCTCCACCCTCTGGCGTGAGTCTGTGTTTTTCTCAGGCCTTGAGAGCCATTGATGAACAGAGTAAACATGAGTTTCTCTGAATCAGACCCAAGAGTCCCGGCCTCCCATAGCCTGCAGAGGGTGTACCTACAGTCTTTTCATCATCGTCTCTTCTGCCTGGCACTCGATTGGGAAACCTGAGTAGCTCCAGAAGACACTTCCGTGTCACACTTTCACCATGCCAAAGAAGTGAACCACTGTCCCTTCAGACCTTTTGACTCAGGCCTAAAGAAATTTGCCTGCATGATTAGATGTCAGCTTGATTGCCCCTGTGTAGCTTGGAGTTTGCTGGCTTAGTTTTATGGGCACCTAAAAAGTGAACCTCGGGCAGATTTAACTAGAGTGAAGAGAAGGCACTGTGCTAATGCTTTCATTATGCTGTATTTTGAGATTTCCAAAGATGGATTATCAAGCAGGATGAAGCAGATCGACAGGTTTCCCTTTCCAGCAGTTAGAAGGTGTATTTTTAGCCATTCTCTCTGCCTTGCCAAACCTGATCCGCCTCATCCAGAGCTCTGGAGTGCTGCATGGTGCTGCCCCCAACTGGTTCTTTTTGGTGCTTTTATTACCACATCAGAAAAACCGCAGATCATGTGGCCGTTCATTTTTTTTTTTTTCTGTGCACTTTCATATGTATTTTATTAGATTCTCATAATGACATCATGAGATCAGGACTTATCATACCTACTTTTTTTTTTTTTTGGAGAGGTTTTTCGCTATAGGGCGCATGCGCTCGCCAGACAGACAGAGAGACAGAAAGCGAGAAATCACCCCCCAGGGGGGATGGCCACGCTGCGATCCCTTCTCCTTCGTTCTCCTCTCAGGATCTTGGGCACACATGCATATGTGCCCGGCATGAGTTTTAAGTCACCGGGTCCGGGACGCAAACCGCCATCGACTATATAGGAGTCCAGCAACATAGCCATTACGCTAACTACTGGTCCCTATCATACCTACTTTATAGATGAGAAAACCAAAGCATAGTTAGCCTTATTAGTTGATTTGTTGGAAGTTAAATGGCTATGAGGGGGGCAGAATTGAATTAGAATTCAGATCTCTTGCCTTTTATTCCATTAGGTTCTTTAGTCCTTTGTAAATTCAATATCACATTTATCAAAAGGGCTTAGAGGGGGGCCAGCAGGTGACATGTGGTTAAGGCATTGGATTCCCCCATAACTGACTGCAGTTCAAGTCCTGGACCTGGTGGCTTGAAAATTAGACCGGGCATGTGTGTGTGCATGTCCAAGGAGAATGGAGGAGAAGGGACTGTGGCATGGCCTTCCCCCAAAGGGGTGATTTCTTACTTTCCTTCTCATGGTCTCTCCGTCTCTCTCTGGTAAGCTCTCACTCTCTATGACACAAACCTTAAAAGGGGGAGAGGGACTTAGAGGAACTTGAAGAAGGTGAGGGTGGGCCAGCCAGTGGTGTGGTGGGTAAGGTGGCTGGATCCCACATATCCATCTGTGCAGCTTGAGTCCCAGACCTGGAAGGTTAAAGCTATGAGTAAATTTGATTTTAAGCTCTTGATCTGGATGACACTGTCTAATTCAGATGTTGTGGTCTCCGACTTTCCAGTGCAATGATAAAGAGCATAGATTCCGGAGCCAGCCTGGAGAGCCTGCTTGAGTTTGCCACTTAATAATCGGGTGACTTTGAGCAAGTTGTTTAAGCTCTAAATGTCTTCTGTAAAATGAAAATAATAGTACACTTACCTTCTAGGGTTCTTTTGCAGATTAAACAAGGTACGATATGTAGTTCTTAGACTAGTGCCCAGCACAGGTGAACACTATATAAACATTAGTTGAAAGAGCACATCTTCACTTAGTACTTCCGTGGCCTTATTCCTACTCATTCCTCAGTTCACTTTGTCTTACTCTGATCGAACCACTTCACAGACCTAGTTGTAAGTTCAGTGGACACTTCCGGAGCTCATCTTACCTGGTCTATAGTAGTCTTTATGTCATTTTCTTTCTTTCTTTCTTTTTTAAAAAAGAGATTTTTGCTATAGGGTATGTGCGCTTGCCAGAGACAGAAAACGAGAAATCCCCTCCCAGGGGGAGCCGGCCACACTGCAATCCCTTCTCCTGCATTCTCTTGTGATTTGGGCATGCACACACACGCACGTGGCGTGAGTTTTAAGTTGCCAGGTCCAGGACTCAAGCCACTATCAACTACGTGTGAGTCCAGCAACGGAACCTTTATGCCATCTGCTTGTCCCTGTCATTTCCTTTTTGAAATGTTCTTCTTCAGCTTCTAGGATGATATTCTCACTTGGTTGGTCTTTTTCTACCCATAACTTTACATTTTGCTTTTCCTTGGAATTCTGTTAATTTCCCCTCTTACATGTTAGCCCCTGGGTAATGTCATCTGTTCCTTGGCATCAGTCACTCTTTCAGAACAATTTTGTTACCTCCTAAATGTGAGTTTCTTGACCAGACTTTGTTCCTAAACTTTAAAATGATTCTTTATAGGACATCTCTACCTTAGTTGTTCCAAAAGTACCTTAAATTCATGTCCCAACTGAACTCACTGTATGCGTTTATATATAGTTTGGGTTTTTTGAGAGATTTTTACCATAGGGCACGTACACGTGCCAGAGAAAAAGAGAGACAGAGAGACAGACACTACCAGGGGGTATGGTCACTCCACATTCCCTTCTTTTCCAGTCGCCTCTTAGGATTTTGAGCACACATGTATGCACACATAGCCAGCATGAGTTTGAAGCTTCTGGGTCCAGTACTTGAACTGCAGTCAACCACGTGGAAGCCCAGTGATGTAACTGTTACTCCATCTGCTGGTCCCATGAACTCACTATATATATATTTTTTTTCTTTTTTGAGAGGATTTTTCACTATAGGCCGTGTGCGCTCACCAGACAAAGAGTCAGAGAGACAGAAAGCGAGAAATCACCCCCCAGGGGGGATGGCCACGCCGCAATCCCTTTTTCTCCATTCTCCTCTCGGGATCTTGGGCACGCACGCACATGCACCTGGCGTGAGTTTTAAGCCACCAGGTCCGGGACTCAAACAGCAGTCAACTACGTAGGAGTCCAGCGACATAGCCATTACGCTAACTTCTGGTCCCTAACTCACCATATTTTAACACTACCTCTTTTAAAAACCTACTCCTCGGGACCAGCAGTTGGCATAATGGCTGTATCACTGGACTCCCATGTAGCCGACTGCAGTTCGAGTCCTGGACCTGGTGGCTTAAACTCATGCTGGGTGCGTGTGCATGCGTGCCCAAGATCCTGAGAGGAGAATGGAGGAGAAGGGATTGCAGTGTGGCCATCTTCCCTTGGGGGTGATTTCTTGCTTTCTGTCTCTCAGTCTTTCTGGCGAGCATACATGCCCTATAGCAAAAACCTCTCCCCCCCAAAAATAAATAAAATAAAATAAAAACCTGCTCCTCTCTGGGGCTGGCAGGTGGTGTGGTGGTTAAGGACGCTGGACTCTCACTTGGCCGACCACGATTCAAATCCTGTACCTGGTGGCTTACTTTCTCACTTTCCCTCTCTCTCTCTCTCTTTCTCTCTCTCTCTCTCTTGCTCTGTCCCTCTATGGTCAAATTGAAATAAATAAATAAAGTTAAATAAAATAATTCTTTAAAAAAAAAAAAAAAAACTCTACTCCTCTCTTGGGGCCGGCCCATTGTCTGGTGGTTACATTGACTAGATCCCACTTGACCAACCATGTAGGTAGAGTCTCAGAAACAGTGGCTTAAAAAGCACGCTGTATGTGTGTGTGTCCAAAATCCTGAAAAAGGGGATTGCAGCGTGACCATGCTTTCTTGCTTTCCCCTGTCTCTCTCCCTCTCTCTGTTTCTCTCCAGCAAGCACGCATACCCACTGGCAGATAAAAAATAGAAAGAAACCTACTTATCTAACTATAGATATTTAATAATGAAATCTAGGGGCCAATAACCTGGGGTCATCTTAGGGCTTTTCTTCACCCTCAACCTCTGATTCAAATTTGACTCTGCCATCTAAATACATTTTGAATCTTGCCTTATCCAACTTCTCTACTACTGCATTGACTGAGATGCCTTTCTTTCACCAGGATTATTGCAATAATCTCTCAACCTGTCACCCCTTCTCTGTATTTTTCATTCTGATCGATCTATTATATCACTGCTAAAATCATCTTTTTAAAACGAAGCTAATATAGCCATTTCTCCCCTGCTTAAAATACTTCTTTTGTCTTTTCCAGTCACAATAAAGCCCGTATATATTAGCCTCACTTCCTGATTTTCCCACACACGCACTCTGGCATATTGAGTAAATTAGTTTCCGGAATGCGCACGCATGTAACCTGCAACTGTGCATGTGCTGCTCCCTCTGGGTGGACTGTCCTGTTTTCCTGCTACCCCAGGCCATCCTTTCCGACTCCTTATTCCCCCCGTGCAGGTTCCTCTGACATGCCCCGTTAGTAACTTTATCCTCAGCACAGTACGGTGCTGTCACCCTCGTACATAACTGTATTTTAGTATGTTCCACACGCTGTCGCTTGTCTCTATTCAGTAATAGATTGTGATCTCCTCAGAGGAAGGTTTCTTTGGGTGCAGTACCTACTATAGTGCTTGGATGCAGAAAAAGCCCTTGGTCACTTTTTAAAAAGAAGCATATAGTTTCTGTTTTCTAAGTGTTTACTGTCTAGTGGCTTCACCCCTGGTCTAGACATTTCTGATAAATGGTAGCTGGCTTTTCCTTCTGTTTTGCAGTATATCAACTCCGGGAACCTGGAACAGTTGCTAGACAGTAACCTGCATCTGCCCTGGACTGTGAGGGTGAAACTGGCATATGACATAGCAGTGGGCGTCAGCTACCTTCACCTCAAAGGCATTTTCCATCGGGACCTCACATCTAAGGTATAAAAGCTGTACTTGCACAACTCTTTGAGAGACACTATCCTCTTTTACCAAGAAATTTGTGTTAAGAAACCAATCATTAAGGAGCTTAGAAATATGGAGGTCTCTTAAAGATTTAGCATTTGATCACAGGGAACATAATGTACATCTTTTTTATTTTTTTTAAAGCTTTTGCCATAGGGTGTGTGTGCTCGTTGGGGAGAGATAGTGAGAGGGAAAGTGAGAAATCACCCCCCCAGGGGGTGTGGCCATGCCACAATCCCTTCTCCAGTCTCCTTTGGAGATTTCAGGCATGCATGCACATGTGCCCAGAGTGCTTTTCAAGCTACCACGTCTGGGATTCAAACTATGGTTGGTCATGTGGGAGTCCAGCGTCTTAACCACCATGCCACCTATTGGCCCCCATAATGTGCATCTTAAGAGACTTCAGTCTTTTGAATGTGCAATAAGGGAACAGATGATATGCAGAAGATTAAGAGATTCTTGACCTATAGGAGTCACAGCAGTCAAGGCAGTGTTGGGGCCTATCATTTTCTATCCCAATGGCCTCCAAGACAGCTGTTAGGAAAGAAAAGGAATTCAGTGATTTCTTTTTCTTCTTCTTCTTCTTTTTTTTTATCACTTGGGTGCAGGTTTTGAGGGCCATAATGTACTGACCCATTTTCTGACGTGTGATTGAGTTTCTGCCACTCTGCCAGTTCCTCTTTGGCATCAGCTGGTCTCTGTAGTATTCTCTTGCTGCCCAAATTGCTGTGTGATCAGGTTAGAAAAGAGTTGCTTTCAGAGGAAGTTGGCCATGCTACAAAGCACACACCTCTGTGCCAAATGGCTCAGGACACTACCGTGACAAGGCTTATATAAATAGTACCGTTTGATCATTGTTGGAGGGACTATAAAGTCATGTAACATGTAATATGACTTCTCCCCAAGAGCTGAATTGCAGTCTTCTAGGGAGGCATACAGTAGTTTCGTACCTGCCCTGTCATTTCATTCCCTGCCCTCAACACAATCACAATACACACGCACGCACACACACACACACACTCTTACACACGCGCATACAATATATTCCTACACTCCTTCTGCCATAGATGAGGGAGAAGTCTGCAAAGGCAACAGAAGTGACTACTGTCAGGCCTAGAGCAGTAGGTCCCTGGCTACCTCCCATTGGAATAGTTCTGGTATTCCAAACAGCAGTTCTATCCCTGGAAGACCCTGGCTATTGGTTTATAAACTACTATACAGAAAATATTTTGGGGGAGGTGATTATAGGGCCCCTATGTGACAGAATCATTTGTAGTCAGCTGCTCGATACCTGAAGGAGCACAAGTCTGGCAAGTAGGCACCGGGAACTAGCTGAAGCCCATGTGTGAGGTACTTTTATCTACAGTAGTACCTACAAGAACTGGACAGTTGGGCAAATGGGACCTGGAAGATGATATCTTATCTCTTCATCAGACATTTATCCTCCTCAGTATGTTTTAGAAAATCAAGACTAAGAAAGCTGCACCTGTTCCAGGTAAAAGGGTAAGGTTGTTTCAACTTAGACATGCTATAAGTTGATACAACTCTCAAACATCCAGCCCAAATCAGATCTTTGGTTCTTACCCAGAAAGCACCATTTCTTCTAAGCAGAGGGAGTTTGTGACATCTACCAGCTAGACATACATTTTCCCCCACACCCACAGGAGTGTCTCCTATGCCTGGCTGCATGGATGAGGAGTACTAGAAAGGGAGAATTTCTGAACTACAGGTGCTTACATCATATTGGTTATAATTGAGTGTTCAGCTATATGGACTACAGGTTTTCAGAGCAAGGAAGATACTCTAGGTTAGGGCAGATAGGCTTCCTGGAAAAAAGCTCTCCAACTCCCTAAGAGTTCATCATATTCTAGGCCCCGAAAGTACTTTGTCTCATTGTGCTAATGTACAAGTGTAGTTTTGTCTGTGCTTATGTGTTATGGTAAAGTGACTAAGCTTTTTGGACTATGGGATAGGTTAAGATTGCTATCCTTTGGTTTTTCTTAGAGGGAGTAGGTATTCCCAGTGTCATTCAGCTTCAACTGAGAAAACAGAAACTTAGGAGAAAGAATGCCCTGTGCCGTTCTTGAGGATACTTTCAAGAGGTGAAAACACATGACTTTTGCAAACAGGCTGAGAAGTACTCAGTAGAGAACTTCAAGTTGAAGGCAAACAGGGTCTTATAAACCAGACTATCCGATTTCAGATGCTGTTTGTGTTCATTGCCCTTTTGTCATCTCTGTGAGCTTTTTCTGGTAATTTTGTCTGAATGTTGCAGCCTCACTGTGACTGTGTTGTAGGTATTAAAGAGAGGGTTGATTGTCCACAGTAGGCCAGAACAGCCTCACCTATGTGTTGGTGGCAGTGACCGTAAGGATGAGAAATCCTAAGGGAGAAGTAAGGGGCAAAGAGTAGAATAAGAGGACTTTGAATCTTTTCATTTGCAATCTTGAGCCCGAGTTTGATTTCTTTAAGGACAGTTTCAGGTTTACCTATATTTTAATAGTATACAGTTTACATGATTTGATTTATTCCATTGTGCCTATATCTCCCACTAGTATATGACTTTACAACGGCTCTTCTTATTTATCTTTTTATTCATAGCACCTAGCGCAGACCCTGTCAGAGCAGGGGATCCCTGGCCGTGTTTCAGGGAATGGACTTGATAGTGCAGAGGCTAAAATATCTGCATAAGAGCTGAGATTTTGGGTTCCATACCCAGCTTTGTCCCATCTCTCTGAATGACTTCATTGTGCCCTTGGGACTTCAGTGTTCCCTGTCCATAAAGTAGATTCTGTCCTTGACCTCTCAGGAGTAATCAGTCCTTGCTTTCTCAGACCAAAGCTAACAGGAAGGATTTAAAGTAGTGAGAACATGTTCCAACTGGGTAAACCAGGACAGAGAAAAGTAGATGTCTTTTTCCAAGTGATCCTAAGTCTGCGTTAGATGCAAAAGGATCCCTAGCTTCCCATCAGCATGCCTCCTGAAAGTAGGGAGCCTGCCTTTGGAGGGCTCACATATCAGTGGTTACTGCATTATTACAGTATAGAAAGTCCATCAGATATAGCTGTTCAGTCTAATTGTTTTTGTTTTATTTTTAAGAAATAATTATTTAATGTATTATTATTGTTATTGTTATTATTTTTAAGTGTTTGCTATGGAGCACATGTGCTCACCAGAGAGAAAAAGACAGAGAGAAAGTGAGAAAGCAAGCCACCAGGTCCGGGATTCGAATAGTGGTTGGCCATATGGGAGTCCAGCGCCTTAACCACTATGCTACCTGCTGGCTCCGGTCTAATTGTTTTTAAGTTTATTTATTTATTTCTTCTAAGAGACAGAAAGAGAGGGAGGGAGAGAGAGAGATACCACACAGGGTCTTTACACCGTGATCCTCCACCAGTCTCAGCCAGCCTGGATTATAGGCACATGTACCCAGTGTGTTCAAGGAGGTCCTCAGGACCTTGCCCGTGTGCAGTAGCAATGCTAAGAATTTGTTTAGAAGGAAGTAGGATATAGCATGGCTTTTTTTAAAATTTTACTATTATTTTAGAGAGAGAGATTTTGCCATAGGATGTGTGTGTTCGCCAGAGACAGAAAGTAAGAAATCACCCCTGAGTCTAGGACCTAGTGGCTTACAACTCATGCCAGGTGTGTGTGTGCATGTGTACCCAAAATCCTGAGAGGAGAATGAAGGAGAAGGGACTATGGTGTGGCCATACCCCCTGGGGAGTGCTTTCTTACTTCTTGTCTCTCTGCCTCTCTGGGAAGCACACACACCCTATACCAAAAAAAAAAAAAAAGTCTCTTAAAAATACATATATTTTTAGGGGCCGGCAGGTGGCATGGTGGTTAAAGGTGCTGGACTCCCACATGGTCGACTGCAGTTCAAGTCCCAGACCTGGCGGCTTTCTTTCTCTCTCTCTCTTTCTCTTTCTCTTCCTCTCTGGTCAAACTAAAACAAATAGATAATGTTAAATAAAATAATTCTCTAAAAAATATATATAATATATATTTTTTAAAAGGATTTTTTAAAAAGAAATAATAATTGGTCTAACTCTATAACATTTGCATTTTTCATCCAATCTGGACATGGCCCCAGTACAGACTATGTGACTACAGAGTAGAAAATATGAAGCTCAGACAACTATGGGGATCAATAGAGCAAGACCAATTTTCAGCTGTAGTGGCATTTAGGGTGCCCTGGAGTTATTTTTTACAATGAGAGCTGTAAACAGCTTCTGGAATCAATTGTACTGTTATTAGAGGACACAGTACTGGGGACATAGAAGTGACTGAATCTGCACCCTCCATGGGCTCTTAGTCTCATTAAGGAGACCAATACGTGAATAGATCATTACACAAGAGCTACGGGAAAGCTGTGGGATCACATGGTAGGATTGAGGGCAAGGAATGGGACACATCACAGCAAAACAGATAATCTTCTAAGAGACTTAGACGGTCGCAGTCCCCAAGGCATTTAGGAGGGCAGTTCAGTCTCTGATCTCCCGGGACTGTGAAAAAACCTCTTAACCTTTCTTGAGCTACAGAATCAGTCTTTTCCTGCCTGATCCTAACTGGGTTTATGAGGGAGTGTGTTGGGTGACTGCATGCTGAAAGCCTTGTTGCAGAAATGTCGTTAGCTTAGAGCTAACACTCTGCTCAGGTGGTTTTATTCAGTGTCAACACTAACTGTGCAGCTGTTCTAGAACACCTCAGAAACTTCTCTCAGGTTATCTACGTTGCCCTAGTTCGAAGAATCTATACAGGTTTTCAGGAAATGCATCCACGGCCCCTCTTTTGAGTCCCCTTCTTAGCTCAGTGACACTATGGAGAGTTAAATGTATGATTAGTGTGTATATCTGACAAATACTTTCTTTTTAGTTTTTGCTATAGGGCACGTGCGAGAGAGCGAGAATGAGAAATCCTACCCCGAGGAAATAGCCGCAGTGCAGTCTCTTCTCCTCCAGTCTCCTAGGGAT